ACATACATACATACATGCACCGCATAATCTGTGCATTAGTCACCGAGACGAAGCGAAGAAGCGGGACGAGCAAAAAACACAACTTCACTTTTATTTGTTTGCGCAAGCCCTCGAGACAGCCAGCAGCAGAGTGCGATTTTTCTGCGGAAGCACCGAAGCAGTTGCGCTCTCGGTAGACATCCTCCTGCCGACAGAGTCAGTTCGAACTACCGGGAGGCGGACAACGTCCGCACTTGTGCTTGGCGCATCGGGTAGAGAGGTTCCTCACACGAGTATCAGGACTGCATTTGTTTGTGTGCCAGTGGGTAAAGGAGGGAGGGGCTGAGGGAAACACCCTCAGATAGTTTGCTTGTGCAAACATGAAAAAAGTCTACAGCATTTGGAATGTGTGTGAGTGAATTCGGCTGAGGCATGAGTGTGATTTAGCCTATCCAGTTACGAGTAGGCTGGTCTTGCACTCTAAATTTCACTTCATGATCATACGGTCTAGGAGTTTCCCGGATCTTGATGCCGACACCAGAGCTAGTTTCATATCCCCTCACGAAATGGGCCCCGAGGCCTCGCCCAGAACGAATTTCACATTCAGCTGAACATGCAATCGTCTTCTTCACCGGCAGACGTCGTATTGCCTCTCAATCGTATGTGTAGACGTAGTGCTAGGACCGTTTGCCTTAGTGGTTGACTAATTGGTACACCGGATACAGGTATGCTGACATCGGGTCCTCATTAATGGGGCCAATGGACTTCTGGAAGTGAATCTGTTCCCCTCCACGGGCTAGCAAAAATGTCATTTTGTTGGCCATCACCCTCTGGTTGGTCGTGTCTTCAGCTCGTCTTCATGTAATGTATCCGAGGGCAAGACAGGCCAAACAACCAAACTCTTGAGAAAAAACTATTCAATCCATTGCTTTCCGAAACGCACCCTCTCCAATACTTTCTGAATGTAAGTATGCAAATTCGCATATGACCCAATAGGCTTCGTTCAAAATCTTGGTTTGACCTTGTTTTCGCAACTTGGTAGGAGCGTCAGGTAGACATTGCGGAACGTACCTAATACCGTGTCTTCTGCCATAGTATTCGTGATTTCCATCATTGGACTATTGGCTTGGTACATTCGCAAACGTTTCGTCGGCATCGTCAATGAGAGGCATCATCGTCAGCCCAGAGTTACAACTTATCAAAGTGACAAGTTCAACTGACTAGGATGCCGGCAAAACGTTTGGGAATGTACCAAGTCGATGGTCCACTCATGCAAATCACGAAAACTATGGAAGAGGACACGGGACTAGCCACTTTCCACAAGGTCTCCCTGACGTTCCGACCAAGTTGCAAAAACAGGTTCGAACCAACACCATAAAGCTAAAGGAGACTGCGACGAAACCAAGGCTTCGTCTAAATTTGAGAAAATGCTGTTTCTGTGGTTTGTTGTTTGAAGAGGCGATTGGAAGGGATTCCTAAGTAGGCTTAACTGGAAGCTGTTGCCTTGGAGCCGTGACTGTAGATTGTGTGCCGAGGAGTCACGACTACGGGACAATCCCTCTACGGTTTGCGGTGAAGCCAACTTACCTCGCATTCGCTTCTTAAAACGAAATGAAAGGTGCTCCAACATCACTCTATTAAGGGTGCCTTCGAAACCCAATTTTTCTACATTCCTGCGTAGTGAGAAGATTGTTTTCAGTCCATACGTCAATCGGAATTTGTGCTGACGCAAAAAATGGGCTAAAAAACGAGCGGCCTAAGCTGTTTTGATGATCACGTCTCATCGTAATTCTCGTCGAGTTCGGCTGCATCTCATTTTCCACCTCGACTTTTCGAACCGCCAAGCCACGCCCGCTGGCACATGGGATGCTAATTAGTCATGGCCAGTTATCGATCAGAGCTCAGGCAAAGTGGCCCGTCTCACCGTCAACTTTAAACTTAAGCGCGCGCACACACAAACAGTCCACCGAGGCTAGTCAGATTAGCCTGCTCACAGCGAGTTCAGCTCACCGAGTCTTGTCTTCCCTCCATTCGTCCCATAAGACGTGGTTTAGGTTGATCTTGAACAATGCCAGCCAATCAGCGCACTCTGCACGCTGTCATTCTGGCGAGTGGGCCTTTAAGGCAAAGGCCGCATCCGTCCTCGCCGTCAAGTCTGGCCTCACATTTTGGTCTTGCATTCATTAAGCCTCTGAATACCGCCTGGGCGCCAACCACGGCCTTGACGCCCGGCTTCCTCCTCGTTTCCACCCGCCTCTAGGCACAGTCGTCCGCCTCTTGTCCACTCAACCTTCTACACTCGGCCAGTCTTGCAAAGTCGTCCACGGCTCGACTTGGAACCAACCGGCAGACGCAGAGAAAGCCTAAGTCGTCTGAAACCCTGGCACAACCCGGGGTGTTCTTCATGTAAGTGGTTTTGTGAAGAAGATGAACAGTTGAGGCGAGTTGAACCTATGCCCGATCTGAATAGGCTTCCAGACAATCAGCAACTCTAAGCATATGAATCGGCCATGGTCGCTTTAGATGATGTAATTACTGATAGATTAATTTTCTCACGATGAAATTGACCCATAAATATGCTTACCTCGAATATGAGTAATGTTGTGGATTGCGTAGGTAGGTCCTACCGTAAGCGGTGTCGAGACGCAGTGCCATGTTAAAAGTGCAGTCGAACCCTCGAAAAACGTACCCCATACTGCGCCCTCTGCCAATGTTTTCATGTCTCCTTGCGGCATTTGACTGTTGATCGGGTACATACCCGGACGTCTCGTTGGCATCCAAGTCGACAGCGTCGGTTACGAGTCGCAGCTCTGAGCCAAGGCTGGGCTGTTCATTAACGATAGCGCTAAAACATCCGTGAATGTAACCAGTTGACAGTCTATTGCTAGCCACAGATATTGAAACAATGTGGGACCGACCCGAATTTTCTATTTATAGGCAATGTCAGTATGAAGAAATTCGTGAATTCGTCTCACCGCACATTGAATAAGGATGGATTGCTATGAATGTTAGACTTTTGGATTGTGCCCACCGTCGTGCGACCCCTGTGAGCCAGAGCTAATATGTAGTCTGTCACATGATAGACATTTTCAAAGCTAGTAAGCCTACGTATACATACTTTTGCGAGCTTAATGAGGCATCAAATAAATTGGTTGGTGATGTGGGCAGATGGGTAAAGTCAGTTGGTGTAAAGGGAATTGATGCGGGCGTAGCTGTTTCTTTACTTCAATTAACCAGGGTGCGAACCTGCTGTTGACGCATTTTTCAATTATGTGGTATTGTGTAGTGTATGTATGGAAAAATTGGCAGAGGACGCATTACGATGTACGCTTTTTCAAATATGCCTTGGAGCATGGGTGAGTTGCTAAAACGGAGTCAAACAAAATCCAAGTGTGAATAAAATACATCGAGACTAAGTTGTGCTCTCGATTGTTATTTCGAATGCAATTTTGACAGATATACAATACCAAAATAAAGTGTGATTTTGTAGTGATCTGGCTTGCTCTGATATCCACACTTGTTCTGCATCTCATTGGGTTTTGTGGCTCTGCGGCGGTATTGTAACGTGTCACTGCTTAGTCCAGTTTAGTGCGGTGTTGTGCCAATAGAGCGCGGTAGAAGATGCTTTCAAACCTAGTGGGTAAAACCATTTTCGAGGTTATACAGAGTGAAGATATGAATACCAAGATAGTGTGGCTTTCTGCTTGATCACAGTTTCTTAGCTCTCTAGGTTTGGTTTAACCTCGTTTTCGCAACTTTTTTGAAGCGCCAGGGAGGCCCTATGGAACTTACCTGGTCCTGCGTCTTCTGCTATAGTATTCGTGATTTCCAGCATCGGACCAGGGACTTTGATAAGTTATAACTCTATGCTAACGATGGCGTTTTCAACTGACATTGCCGATTATGATGCTGGCGAAACGTCTGGAAATGTACCAAGTCAATGGTAGGATGCTGGAAATCACCAATACTATGGCAGAGGACGTAAGACTAGGTGTGTTCCACAAAGTCTACTGACGACTGACCAAGTTACGAGAACGAGGTCCAACCAACACCATACAGAGTGAAATTCACTGGCGTTTCATTGTGGGAAAATCCATCCATCAATCCTTAACTCATCCTGAGTGTGTTTCAAGTTCTGTGAGCTAAACTTGTTTATGAATTTTCGCTTA